GTCAGCTGTTGTTGTGTTTAATTGCACTTTATAAATAAAGAAAGAAAATGTGCAAAAAGTCATTTTAGCAAGTCAGTGGTTCACCAAACCTCAAACTCCCCGAGCAGCATTTCACATCTTTTTGCAGCAAAATGAATGCAGTTTAGATATGTTTGTTTAATTATAATTACAAAGTAGGCTGTTGTTAGTTAACACGACAGCTGCTGGTTTCTGCTGAATCTGAAGGAAAGTGTGTGTCGTTTCTCTGCTTCTGACCCTGATGGATGTCATTAGTTAAAGCATGCATCACATTATCCTGCAGTGACAGTTAAACTCCGCGGAGGCTGATAAACGACGCTAACGATCACTTCAGTCACTTTCCAAACAAATCCGGCCTCTGCTGCTCCGCTGAAGACTTGTAATCACATGGAATAGAAATTATAAGAAAGAAGGGAGTCGTTCTTTCATTTGCACCAGTGACCTTTCACATTATACACCGTGAGCTGTCTATGCAGACAGGATTTTCAGAACTTATATAATGCATTTTTCATGTGTTTTCGGTTTTAACTAGCTAAATAAATATAAAGGAATAAAGAAATAAATTAATATTGTAATAATAATAATGATAAATGAATAATAAAAATAAAAGAATCAAATATAAAAACAAATAAAATAATAATTAAATGAATATTTCAAAAAACAAATATAAATGAATAGAATAAATGCATAAGTATATAAAACAAATAAATCAATCAATAATAGAACGATATAATAATAAAGGAAATAAAATAAATACATAAATACAAAAATAATAAAACAATAATCAAATTAGTATGAATAAATAATAAAACAATAATCAAATTAATATGAATTAAAAAATAAGTAAAACAAAATCTGACACAATGATGAGAACTTTACAGTAGTTGTAAAATTAACTTCTATTCACATTTCACATGTGCACATGTCCCTAAAAGGAATAAATAATTCACAAAAAAAAACAAAAAAAGGTCATTCTGTCATCACTCACTCAAGCTCAGGTCGTTCCAAATGTATTTATTTTGTAAAAAAACGTAGTTAGGCATGCAAGGCTTCTTCTTGTTTTCATCATTGTATAACTCAACAACTGCTTCTACTGTATGGAAAAGAACACATTTAAGGTCCGTTCACACCTAAAACCAAAGCATAATAATGTTTGGGTTTATTATAAGTGTACTGCAGTTTTGTCATCTGCTGCTTTAAATGCGTGAGCTCTTTAAGCAGAGGCTTTCTTATTGGCTGTCAGTGTTTTTATCATTCATTCATCAACTGGGGAAAAAAAATCTATTCTAGTTGCAAGATAAAATCTGGAATTCTGAGAAATAAAATTGAATAGGAATATGTTAAACTCAGAATTGTGAGATATAAATTACAAATTGAGAGGAAAACAACTCTGAATTGCAATATACTGGATGAATTCAGAATTGTGTTCTATTAACCTAGAATTACAAAATATAAACTCCGAATTTCACAATGTGAACTCAGAATTGTGAGAAAAAAGTCAGAACTGTGAGATATAAACTCAGAATTCAGTGAAAGTGAATAGCAATATATAAATTCAGAATTGCGATACATAAACTGAGAATTCAAAGAAAAAACTCAGAATTGCAAGAAAGAATTCAGAATTGCGAGATGTAAACTCAGAATTCAGAGAAAAAAAGTGAATTGTGATCCATAAATTCGGAATTGCGACATATAAACTGAGAATTGAGAGAAAAAACTGAATTGAGAGATAAAAACAGAATTGCAGGGGGGAAAAAACTCAGAATTGTGAGAAGTAAACTTGCAATTAACAAGTTAATCATTTGCAGTTGTGCAATATAAACTCTGAATTAAAAGAAAAAACTCAGAATTGAGAGATAAAACTTAGAATTGCAGGAAAACATCTCAGAATTGCAAGATGTAAACTCAAAATTCAGAGAAAAAGTGAATTACCTAATAAAATTTCAGAAAAAAACTCAGAATTACAAGATTTCAATGTAAAGTCAGAATTGTGAAGAAAAAAAGTGGGAATTGCGAGATGTAAACTCAGAATTCAGAGAAAATGAACTACGATATATAAACTCAGAATTGCAAGATATAAACTCAAAATTCAAAGAAAAAAAATGAATATTGATATATAATTTCAAAATTGAAACAAATTGAAAAAAAAACATCAGAATTGCGAAATGCAAAATGTGCAATTAACAAGTTTATAATTTGCAATTGCAAGATATAAACTTTCAATAATGAGAAAAACAGGCAGAATTGTGATAAAGAGTCACAATTACCTTTTTTTTTCAATTTCGTGGCAGAAACATATTCATTCATATGAGAGCAAGTAAATGATGAAGAAGGTTCATTTTTGAGTGAACTGTCCCTTTAAAGGGTTATTTCACCCAAAAATGAAAATTAGCCTGTGCTTTACTCACCCCAGAGGCATCCTAGGTGTATATGACTTTCTTCTTTCAGACGAATCCAGTCGGAGTTATATTACAAATTGTCATTGCAGTCAGCGGGTGTTGCAGTTGAACAGTCCACAAGTCGTCAAATAAAGCTCGCGCATCCATAATAAAACATGCCTCACACGGCTCCGGAGGATGAATAAAGGCCCCCTGTAGCGAATCCATGCGTTTTTGTAAGAAAAATATCCATATTTCAAACGTAATAAACACTTTTCTCTCACTTCCGGTATCTGTCATACATGGAAGCCGTTCCGGCGGATGACGTAAGACGCGCGGCATTGCGCGATTAGTGACGAATGTATGGAGGACGAAACCTGCAAAAACAATAAATAAATAAATACACAAATAAATAAATAAATGTGTGCATAAATACACGTATTCTTGTATAAATGCATAAATAAATAATCATATATGTGATGAAAGTAGGCAAATAAATAATATAAATTGGTGGGCAAATGGAAAATGTTTAAGGAAATGCTAAACTCATCCTATTTATTTTCCTTTGATCACTCATTTATTTCTGAATGTAGTTCCATACGAATGCGGAGTGAGAACAAAACAAAACGCCGGTCACGAATTAGAAGTACAAACCGAGGATTTGCAAAGAAAAATGTCGGAGGATTTCGATATAAACCAAGAGGAGACTGGTTTTCCTTTGCTGAAGTTAGGAAACTTTGCTTCCTTTGATCCTGTAAACAAACTCACGAGACTAGCATATCTCCGAGGCGCGCGCGCTGCACATACGTGCTGCGTCATCCGCCGGAACGGCTTCAGTGGATGACAGTCAGCGGAAGTGAGAGAAAAGTGTTTATTACGTTTGAAATACGGATATTTTTCTTACAAAAACACATGGATTCGCTACTGAAGGCCTTTATTCACCCCCCGGAGCCGTCTGCGGCATGTTTTATTATGGATGCGCGAGCTTTATTTGACGACTTTTGGACTGAAGCACTGCAACACCCGCTGACTGCAATGATAGAGCTTGGAATAGCCAGGACAATTTTTAATATAACTCTGACTGGATTCATCTGAAAGAAGAAAGTCATATACACCTAGGATGCCTCGAGGGTGAGTAAAGCACAGGCTAATTTTCATTTTTGGGTGAACTGTCCCTTTAAGACGAGTATGTTGCATTGGCTAAGACTCACTGAAGGATCTGACATGTTCTCCAGCATTGGTGCTGTTTCTCTCTCAGTGCGGGAGGTCCACCGCCTGAGACGATGAGCTTCTCCAGCATCTGTGACGCGTTAGCGCTGAGTAACTCAGAAAGGACATTATCATGTTCAGCTGCGAACGAAAGCATCCCGTCTCATCATATCTGTGTGAAAGCAGCACATCTGAAATCTAATATTCAGAGTGAAGAGCGACTGGAGGTCACACCACATGATCACTTCAGTTCCCTGCAGGGTCACGAACACAAATAGAGCGCAGTGAGAACACCAGAGGAGCGTTATGGTTATAAAACTTCATCTGGTTGGAATAGGACTGGTTTGATTGGTCAGGAGTCGAACCAAGACTGTCACGGTCCAGTTTTCGTGCATGAACAAAGAAAACGTCATTTTGTTCAGCGTTTTCAGTGTCATGCATTAACTGCATTGCAAAAACATGATGCTTAATTCTATATTCTCAGCAATGATGATGATTCTCATAGATGAATACATTTTATGTATATGTCAACTCATTATCAAACTTGTCAAACCCTAAAATAAAATAGATTAAATAAGTGCAAAAAAATAAAAAATAAAAATAGAATAATAAATTGAAAACAATACAAAATAAATACACAAAATTGTAATATATATATATATATATATATAAAATGAAATGAACTAAAAAATAATGA